TACGAAGGGCTCGTCTAGAGGTTGGGGTTACAGCTGGGATGTCCCCCCCCTTATACTAACAGTCCTTAATAGGGATCATCGTACCCCCAATTAACTTTAGTGTAAAGGGGAACATCCCAAGGTTAACGGCAGAAGGGTTTAAAGGGCTCATACGGCCTAGAGGGTTTCAAAGGCTTAGGGGGGGCTTATAGGTTTATAGGGTTTAGGGACCCTAAACCCTAAACCCTAAACCCTAAACCCTAAACCCTAAACCCTAAACCCTAAACCCTAAACCCTAAACCCTAGAGAGTCTCAAAGGTTGAGGACTACTCAGAACTTGGGACCCCTTATGAGGGTCCCGAATTCGAGGCCAGGTCTGCGCGTTGGTTGCTCGGACCGGATGTGGCGGACATTGAAACCCTTGCAAGCCCTTAACTAAGGTTTTGAGGGTTTAGGGTTTAGGGCTTAGGGTTTAGGGCTTAGGGTTTAGGGTTTAGGGTCCCTAAACCCTATAAACCTATAGGGTTTGGGGTTTAGGGTTTAGGGTTCAGGGTTTCGCCGTACTTAATGTTTGCAGGCTGGGTGCCGGTTCAGGGGTTCAGCGATTCTTTGTTCCTACTCCTCCATGGTGAACGTGAGCTTTTCCCAAAAGGGCCCTGCAGCACTGTGGCCAGGCAGGTGGCAAACAACAAGATCCTTAAACCCTCAACCCAAAACGCAATGTGGACGTACAGTTCAGCTAGGCGGGCGGAAAAAAATATTCCTAAAACCTAAAACCTGAACACTAAACCCTAAACCAGGACACGGCGACGGACATCGAGAGGGCATATCGTGCCTTCTTTGGCAACTTCGGGCTCTTCACAGACTATGCGGGGCTCACCTGGGAGGTGACCTCATGCCTTTTAGGCAATGCGGCTCGCCGACAGAATGGTAGTAACCCGAGGAACGACTCGAAATAACGAGAACACGAGTACTTAACTTAACAAACGTGGCACTAGCTCTCAGAATACCCAGAGTAGGCACTTCTTTCGCTTTTAGGGTTCCGGTTCCTTTTAAGCCCCCGTTTAAAACCAAGAAAAGGCTTCCTCTTGGGTCTAGATGACAATTAGATGAAAGGACCGGGTGGCCCCACAAGACGAGGCAGCACAGATCTGGTAGCCCTAAACCCTAAACCCTAAACCCTAAACCCTAAACTTCAGCCATCGCTCGTCCTTCGCCAAGGTCTATGATTCCGAGGTTGCACCTGGCACTGTCCTGGAAGTCCAGGAAGCCGGACCCCGAGATTTTCTTGAATCTCATAAACCCTTTCCTGAAGGCTCCTAATCTAGTTCCCTTTTTTGGGTTAGTATAGAAATGGGGTGGTAGTACGCTTACGCCAAGAACGTACTACACTAGGAGCCTTTAGGATTGAGCCCTCTACTTAAATCATGACGTTCCCAGCGTTCTGGATCATCTGGAACAGTCCGGCTGCTGGCTCTTTGCCAAGCTGCAGCCACAGCGACCTGCTTCTTCAGTCGTGCTTGCGATTCTTGCTATCATCGCAAGCATCAGCAATCACCATCATCATCATCATCATCATGCCATCATGTTCTTACGACTACTGTATATGACATATAGCATCTAGCACACATGCATGACATGAGTTCCTTCTTATGAAGCTGCTACTAGCCGGTGGCTGTAGCCGGTGGCTGTCGAAAGACTCTTGTCAGCCCTAAACCCTAAACCCTAAACCCTAAACCCTAAACCCTAAACCCTAAACCCTAAACCCTAAACCCTAAACCCTAAACCCTAAACCGAAACCCGAAACGCATGCCCAAGGCCGGAGGACAGACGCGGATGGAAGTCATGGCCAAAGACGGTCGTTCCGTAATGCTCGGCGGCCGGCAGCTTGTTTGAATAGTATCGCTTGGGGTGTTCCCCCCCCTATACTCAGAGTCCTTAATAGGGGTTATAGGTTTGGGTACTATAATCGCTATTAAGGACTGTTAGTATAAAGCGGGAACCCTAAACCCTAAACCGAAACCCTAAATCCTAAACCCAATAAGGGTGATAGCAGGGGGTACTATCATCCCCATAAGGACGGTTAGCATAAGGGGGAACATCCCACAGCATCGCTTGCCATCCCCCAGGATCTGGAAAAATGTGTCGTTTCTCGACCCGACTTAGGGTCTAGGGTTTCGGGTCTAGGGTTTAGGGTTTAGGGTTTAGGGTTTAGGGTGGAATGGTTTGCGTGGACACTGCTTTATAGCAGACAGCCAATGTAAGCAAGCCAAGTATCCCCCAACATGCAGACATGTTTGTGGATCTTGAGGCTTAGGTCACAGCTTCGCAGTTTCTGGTTAGGGTTTAGGGTTTAGGGTTTCTGGTTTAGGGTTTAGGGTTTAGGAACTTCGTTAGAGCACCCTGAGGACTGTCATGTAGCTTTGTTGGGGGGTGGATGTTAGTCTTCTCGTTAGGAGTCTTGGTGTACTACCCAGCTGGGTACTACATCAGGAGCCTTTGAATAGAGTATGTACTCTAAAGTCTCTAGAGCATGCTAAAGCAGCGATCATAACCATTGGCTTCGCACAGGGAGCATTGAAGGCTCTCTTACCCTAAACCCTAAACCCTAAACCCTAAACCCTAAGCCCTAAACCCTTCAAGTGATTCACTTTGCTGGGTGCCTAAGAGACACCTTGGGTCATTTCATGACAGATTGCTCATCCCTAAACCCTAAACCCTAAACCCTAAACTTTTATTAGTCTGCTTTAGAATCCAAGGTTTGTCAGCACCGAAGTTGGCCATCCGCAAGTGCAAGCTCCTTGTGACGCGCCCTGGCAAACCTTGGCATGCGCAGAAAGATCATCGCTGCCTCCTCCCTGAACTGCACCCACAAAACTCCGAACGTCGACCATGCACGAGGGTCGCTCTAAGAGAGGTTTAGGGTTTAGGGTTTAGGGTTTAGGGTTTAGGGTTTGGGGAGATATCTTTGCTTTCAGCAAGGTGAAGGTGAGCGGCGTCTTTGAATCCACCACCCTTGTGAGCGAGTGGCTGAAGAAGCCGAACGCGGACTGGCTCCCAGGCTTCAAGAGATATGCTTAAGAGTGCGCGGAGTTCTGGTCTCAAGCGACACTAAAGGAGAGTTACACAGGAGTTATTTAGGGGTTATTTAGGGGCTGCTGAGGTATTTCGGGACTATAATATGGGGTATATATATATATATAGGGGTTAAATAGGGGAATAAGATTCAGGGTCCCTTCTAGGGGTCCCTCCTTTACCCCTTCACGGTCACCTCTTGCCGACCTGTACAGAGCTGAAAAATTCAGCACGACTGCGGGACCCATCTGCACAATCCGGTACAGAAGAAACTCATGTGCAGATTGGCTCTCAGAATTTGCGGTGTAAAGTAAAAGTCTAGAAGTGTTGAGTGTGTTGCAGGGTGCTTGTGTGGAAGACGGCGTAGCCGTCACACGGCCTTGCCCCAGCACAGACTCAACAGCAGAGATGCATGAACTTGTACAGATCCAGCCAGGCCTGGTGAAAGCACGTGCGCAGCTGTGCAGCCCTGCTACTGTTGCTGTGCTCTCCGGCCTGTGAGCTGAAGGCGTTGACATTTACGTATAGAATGCTGCGTTTAAAAGTTTATTGCGAGCACCACAAGGGCACGTACCCTTATCCACCCAGTTCGCTGCAAGGCTTCAAAAAGATACGGAAGAGTTGAAAGCGGATAACTTGCAAGCAAATCCGGGCTGCGCCGCCGGGTAATGTCTCAAGTGGTTACCCTAAACCCTAAACACGAAACACTAAACGTTAACATACTTCTGAAGTCTTCAAGAGGCAGTGTGTGGCTGACTAAGCATGCTTGGGAGATTCATGATTTGAGTCGCTCTGAGTTTAGGGCTTATTAGGGCTACTAGGGCTCGGGGTTTAGAGTCTTTTTTACCTTCTTGGCTCACGACCATGCCGCCTGCTGGTTGCCCAGGTTTGGTTTTCTCAACAGCTTCCAGGCCATGCTTTTGGTATTCACAGCCCTACCCCTAGCCCTATATAACCACATCGTACATAGAACATCATGAACACCCCTGAAAGCTAAGCCTTGTGGCCCTAGTCACCTGAACCCAACCGTTCTCAGCGTCGGATTTCGTGGCCGGGGCGATGGCCCAAAGCGCAAGCTGCGGCGAAGGTGCTTCCCAGCTCTTTGGATGTTTTTTTTCTTGTAGTTCGGGTTCATAAGGTTTAAATTGGTAACAACTCTGAAGGATTTCGGGCCGTACTTCTGTGCAAGGTGTTATGCGAATACGGCTGGAGCGATTCGGTGTTTGTAGAGCCAAGGCAAGAGGTGCAGCCTCTTCATGTCCAGCTGAACTGACAATGATTCCCAGTTAGACTCCCCTTTCGTTCCGAGCCATTATTAAGGAGCAACCCTCTCCCCCACCCCCCACCCCCCCCCTCCCACCTGCCAAGAACCAACTCCATGCATTCCTCGTGGGCGCTCCTCTGTTGGAGATGGTACGTTCCTGTCGCAAGAGACACAGCTAGCTCGTGAACCCGATGCATCAGCCTCAGAACTCCGAATCACACACGCACACATGTGCGGCTTTTTCTTCGACACGTGCATGCAAGCGGCTAGCACACATGCCTACCTACAGAAAAGCATGCACGCCGACCTACATGCTCAGACAATGCATTGACACAGAGATATATGCTTGGGCAGATCGATAGATATAGACACAGGTGTGCTTGAACTGTCGTCACTGTTATGCATGTGTTTGTTTGTTGTACTTCTTCATTCTGGTTCGTTGTGGTTAGTTTAGCCACTGTGCTCATTCTCAACCTGGTTATTGTAAACATCAACATTTACTTACGGAGCTTAGCCTAAACTCCAACCCCGAAGCCACATTGTAGGCTTTAAACCCTACTTCTTGCTACGAATGACATGATGCAAAAAGCATGGGACTCCATCCTGCTCTCATCGCCTGCTTCAGGCAGCATCAATGCCCCCGTAGAAGGCCCCGGCTGTCTGCAAAGGATTCCAGAGAGCCATGGGCAACTTTTGTGGCGCGCCCTGCGCGGACCACGGCCAGGCCAAGACGGCTAAGATTCACGCCCTGCCTCTCTCTTGCAACGCCATGTCGCCGGTCCTCTTTGCCCAGGACATGGGCATAGGTGTGTTTCAATTCTGCGACCTCATGGCGGGCGCGCACTTGAAGCCCGAGTTCTTGGCGAAGAACCCGTTCCACACCATCCCGACGTATGAGGGCCTGGATGGGTACACCCTGGGGGAGTCCAACGCAATCTTGCGCTACATGGCCGTGAGGTACGCGCCCCAGTACTATCCCTTAGGGGACCCGAAGATGTGCGCGCGCATCGACTGGGCCATGGACGCCATGAGCACCTCGGTGTACCAGAAGTGGCTTCAGCGGACATATCCCATCTTAGGCTTCGGATCTCATCCTGCAGACCAGGCGAAGGCGAACGAGGAGCTCAACGAAGTTCTGAGCTGCTTCAAGCAGGCCTTCATCGGTGAGGGGAAGTACATCTGTGGTCACACCCTCACCATCGCGGACTACAAGGCGATGCCCTATCTCCACTGCGCCATGCAGCCCACGATCAAGCAGAAGTCTGGCATTCAAATCGACTCATGGTTCGAAAGTTATGTGAAAGACTGCATGGCTGCCATGCCATCCTCGGCCATGCTTAAGACGGCCGACGGCTATGGCATGGAGGAGCGCTGGAGGATAAGTTATCGGGCTCAGGGTTGAGGGCTTCTAGGGCATGAGAAGTGCGTTGTTCTACCTGTAAAGAAGCACATAGAACCCAGAACAGCGTGGCTCTGAAAACCGCGCCGCGATGTCCGAACCAACCTCGCCAGCCATGAACTTCTAGAAGCGTCGAAGCCCGAAACCGCGAAACTTACTAGATCTCGAAGACCTAGCCCTGAAAGCCTTTGCGTACAGTGTGGTGTGGCAGGCGGCCAAAGAAGCGCTTGCGGCTAAACCCTCCTCCTTCCTCAGAGGAGTTCCTGGCCACGAAGACGGACCTGCCCAACTACCCTGGCTCCATAGTCACCTGCGGCACAGGACCGACGTGCAACGCCATTAAGACAGGCGGGAGAAGGAGGGGGTGGGGGTGGCTTTCCCCAAAGCAGGGCAGCATATTTTTGGGGGTGACGAATAATTTGTGTCACCCCGACAGGCAACGCCCTGCGTTATTGACTAAACGATGCAAGTCCGACCGAACCCCAAAACCCAAAACCCAAACCCACAAACCCACAAACCCCCAAGCCCCCAAACCCCCAAACCCCAAACACCCAATCCCCGCAGACCCCACGAAACCCCAAACCCATGCCAGAGGTGCAGCCAAGGCTGACGAGAAGGCAGCAAAGATCCATGGCTTGCCGTTGTCTCCGAGCCTTCTCAGCTACAGAAGGCTCTGAGGTTGAGGGTTTCGGGTCAAACGGTGCAGGGTAAAGGGTTTAGGGTTTAGGGTTAGGGTTTAGGGTTTAGGGTTTAGGGTTTGGGGTTTGGGTTTTGGGGTTTAGGGTTTAGGGGCTTTGTTTTGTGCCTTCTCCCTGCTGCTTCAGCATCGGCTTGACCTTTCAGCACCCTTCAAGCCACCTCGAACCTCCCTAAACCCTGAAGCCCTAAAGACCCACATCATTAATTGGCTGTTAGCATGTTAGTCCCTAAATCCTAAACCCTAAACCCTAAACCCTAAACCCTAAACCCTCGCCTGAAGTCGGAGACCCAGGAACTGCGCCGGGGCGCTGATGTTAGCGCAGGAGACGGGCGTCGGCGCGATGCAACTCTGCAACCTCATGGAAGGTGCCCACAAAACCCCTGCCTACCTCGAGAACTGGGCAAAATTGAGGCTGTAGGGAGGGATATAGGGAAGTTGGGGTGTCCGTTTATCCCTACAGTAGACTTCGGTTGCTAGGAAACTTGGGAAGGAAGTAGGTTTGGTCGCTTAGGGCTCTTTGATAGAATGACTAGCTGTTGTCTTTTGGGGCGGCCTCCCAGAGCCAAGGAGAAGAATCCGTTCCATCAGGTGCCAACATACGAAGGCTCCGATGGGTTCTGCCTTGGAGAGGGCAATGCTATCCTGCGCTACATCGCCTCGAACTACGCACTGCAGTACTACCCCGGTGATGCCGAGAACCGTGGCAAGATCGACATGGCGATGGACCTCTTCAGCACCGGCATCTATCAGAAGCTTAGGTGCTGTTTGGGAGGTGATTTCTGTTGATGTCTATTCGTCTACAGCAAGAGTCATCACTCTCCATCGTGCATAGCGCATCAAGTTATAGGGGCAAAAAGACCAGACATCTTACACAGATGGGTGAACCAGAAGATTCTTGACCCCGCGAACTCTCATGCTCCCCCCTGAGTCGCAAGTGACCGATGTTAGGGGAGTTCCTTTTAAATAGGGGTTGCAAGTTATAACCTAGGAGTCCGTAGGGCTCCGGTTTGCAGGGTGACCCTGTGCTGCCTGTGCACTACTATTTGCTTAAGAACCCCCCAAAAAATATAGCATGACAATCCCTTTAGAATTTATTTTGGGTTTTTTGTGGGTTTTTAAGCAAATCATCGTGTGGTTTGGACGAGGAAGCTGGCGGTCAGCATCTGCTACCCAGTCTTCGGTTTTGGTTCTCCTCCAGCTGACCAGGACAAGGCCAACAAGAGCGCCAGCGAGGCTCGCAGATCTGTTTTCTTGGCTGAGCTTTGTTTCCCTAAACCCTCAACCCTAAACCCAACACCCCAAACTCCGTTTTTGGAGCCATGTGACTCAATAGCATCCGTCCAACACGGTTAGCCCACATGCCCTTGCCGCTTCGGGCTTCAGAGTTTAGGGGTCCTACAATTGGCAGGTAATTACCGGCATGGCTCTCAGACCAGGCCCAAGAAGGGTTCCTACAATTCCTAAGCCCTACAACCCCAAGCCCTTACCTAAAGGCTCCGAATGTAGCGCAAATCAACCACAGCTGATTAGATAAGAATAGGGTAATAATTTGGGCAGCTTGCTTTACGATGATTTTATAGGACTTATAGGTGTTAAACGTTAGTGAATATTCAGGCTCCTATATTACGGGTTGGGGGGTTGCACCTTCAGGCCCGATGCGCTTTGAGGATGTCGGAACCTAACCGAGTGCAAAACGTTGGATTGCTTGAGGCCTTTGGTTGCGGGATCGTTGGCGGAGGCACTTGAAATTCAGTCAGAGCTCAGACGAAACCTTCAAGACAGAACAGCCCCCAAACCCTCAAACCTCAGCCTTTAAACCTAGGAACCTCAAACCCTAAACCCTAAAACCCTAAATCTAAAGCCCTAACCCTAAACCCTAAACCCTAAACCCTAAACCCTAAGCCCCAAACAGGCCCTAGAGGCGCTAGAGAAGACCTTCTTCAAGAAGGGTAAGTTCCTGGTTGGGCAACAGCCCACCATTGCGGATTTCAAGGCTGGGCCGGTCGGAACGATTTGAGCTTATAGGGTTTAGGGTTTCGGGTTTAGGGTTTAGGGTTGGGATGTTCCCCCTTATGGCAGGGCAGAGAAGGGGGTTTTCGAAAATCCGGGACCGCTATATAGACCCCCAAATAGTAGGTTTCCCTTATCATGAAGGTACCCCTAGTTTCGGAGCCCCCGAGAAAGGGATAATCATGCGGGGAAGTCGCCACATAGAACTAAAGAAGCTCCGGATGTTCAGCTTGCAGGAGCAGCCTTACTTGGAGGTTCATGGGTTTTTTGGTAACCCAATTAACGCTGTACTTATAGCTGTACACGTAACTATATTAGGGCTTCAGGGGCTTATAAGTGGGTTTTCAGTACAGTTATTATTGGTTAGGAAGTACCATGAACCTCCAAGCAGAGTTTAGGATTGAGAACAACATGGGGTGCCAGGGCCGAAGGGTGCAAGGAAGCTTTGGAAAACCCTTCAATACGAGTCCGGGCCCGAAATCTTACCACCCACTACACCACCCCTAAACTCCTGAGACTTTGTGTTTGTTTTGGTTACAGTACCCTATAAACCCTGGTCCCCATTTTCCAGGTTTCTGGGAGGGGGGGGGTGTCGGTCGCCCTTTAAGCGAGTTCGGAGCCACAGCATCACACGCTTGCCCCCCTTTTTTCAGACCTTGAATCACCTGGTTCGGGTTTAGGTTTAGTCGCTACCCTGAGCTGGGAATTAGGGTTAGGCTTCAGAGTTCGGACGAGTTCGAGCTTAGACGGAGGCCCTTCCTTACCTCTTTGCCGCCAACCAGCCGGCGGTCAAAAGGAAGACAGGCTTCACTTTGCCACCACGCCCCACGGCTCTTGATATGAGACAGGCTATATATTTCGGTTCTTGGTGAGTGCATTTAAGGTTCCTAAACCGATCTTGAGAACTAGCGTTTATTGTTTAGGGCATGCCGGTCTTCTGGTTGAGGGTTTTGGGATGTTCGGGTTCAACGTTTTAGGTTGTCGGGTTCAGGGCTTTAGGGTTTAGGGTTGCTGGCATGCAGAGGCTGGGTTCAAAAAGGGTTTAAGGTTTAGGGTTTAGAGTTTAGGGTTCAGGTTTTTGGGTTTAAGGTTTAGGGTTTGGGGCACGTGAGACTCCCCCAAAGCTAGCGGGGAGGCGGGGAGTCAAGGTTTCATCACATACGTCAACGACTGCCTGGAGGCATTCGGCAACCCGGCAGATCATGAAGTCGCTTCAGCTTGGTTTAGGGTTTTAGGGTTTACGGGGTTGTGTGTTTTGGATTTCGGGGTTCGGGTTTTTCGTGTTTAGGGGGTTTTGGGGCATTTCGTGATCGGGACCCTGAGCCCTATCTTCCTCCTGGTCCAGGGTGGGGAGGGGGGGGGGAAGGAAATCGCAGGTAGCGTTGAACCAGTCCTTGGCCCATTGGGTAGCACAATGTCTGGATAAGACTGAAAGGACTAAAACGTGTGAGCTAGTTTGTGGGGCTCGACTTGTTATTGCCTTTGGGGTACCCTGCCGCGTAATGGCATGCGGCCCGTCACGAGTGTAACATAGGGGCCTCAATTATTAGAATAGGGTTTTGGGGGGTCATTATGGTATGTTTTGTAAAGGGACCACAAAGGGAATACTAGTAGTAATTATGCCGACCCCTATAGTACACCGTCGTCTTTGTTCCGCTCCCTAAACCCTAAACCCTAAACCCTAAGCCCTAAACCCTAAACCCTAAACCCTAAACCCTGCTGGCTGGTGGGTTCGCAGGAATCAGGGCTTCGGAGGGAAGGCCGAAGATGCGCAAGTTCCCGATCCTTTAGAAGCCCTGACCCCCTAAACCCTAAACCCTAAACCCTAAACCCTAAACCCTAAACCCTAAACCCTAAACCCTAAACCCTAAACCCTAAACCTAAACCCTAAACCCCCAACAAGAAAGGTAAGAGCAGCAGCTTGCTGACGTCGGCTGGCGGGCTCAGTATCAAAGAGCACTTGGCCAAGAAGGAGTGAGCGTGCCTGGCACCGCCTGTTCTGCCGAAAAGATGCCGGCCAGGAGGCGGGTGAATCCAGGGGTTTAGAGTTTCGAGTTTCCCCCCCAAAAAACTAACCCTTAACCCTAAACCCTAAACCCTAAACCCTAAACCCTAAACCCTAAACCCTAAACCCTAAACCCCATGTTTCTTCAAAAGAGACGATGCTTGCCCATGGTGGGCTGCATGCGAGGGGCGGATGTGTCTCAAAGCTCACGAGTGTGGCAAAGTCAGCACGGAGCTTTGGAAAAGAAAGCAATGTCAGGGTTTAGGGTTTAGGGTTTAGGGTTTAGGGTTTAGGGTTTTCAGGTATCCACCTCCACCTTGTGGACGAAATGAACCCTAAAATTGGGGGTCATGTACCCTGACTACTTTTTTCCTGTTAGGGTATATGAGCCATAAACCCTTTTAGGGTTCATGTCGTCCCCAAGGTTTAGGGTTTAGGGCAAGACTTGGGGGAGGCTTCAGAAGCCCCTAACTTACCTAGGGCCCTTATTGGGGCTCGGGTTCCTGTATAAGCCACTTCAAGCCAAAAAGGGCACCCTTTTCTATTCCAAGGGTTAGTCTTAGGTCTAGTTAAGGTACGTCAAGTGGTGTTGGGCATTCGCGGGGTCGCTGGGAGCAGTACACCTCTCAAGCTTTGAGCATCGAATGCAGTCAGGAGTTGGGATTTAAGGACCCCAAACCCTAAACTGCCCTAAACCCTATGCTATATACCCTAAACCCTAAACCCCACACCTGGAGATTTCCTGGAGCGCCGGATCCTGGCTTGTAGTAATCCGTCGTTTGTTTTGCTCTCTTTCGCAGGAGTCCCCAGCTACTGCAAGCCACGAAGCCCACGAAGACCCCCAAGGGGGCTGAAGTAGGACCCCCTCCCCCTGTTACATTTGGGAAGGGTTTAGGGTTTAAGTCATTGGGGCCTAGGGCCCTTGGTTTTCTTCTCAGCCCCCCTAAACCCCCAAAAAAGGGCACCCTTTTGTGCGCTCCTAGGTTGCTCTCGGGTCTGGTGAAGTATGTTCATGGTCTGGGTCCTTTGGGTTTAGGGTCTAGGGTTTAGGGTTTAGGGTTTAGGGTTTAGGGTTTAGGGTTTAGGGTTTAGGGGGTCTACAGGGCTTCTCCACTTTGGAGTTCTCATGACAGGGTAGCGCCTGAAACTCCAAGCTCACGTTTGGCCTGTCAATTTTCGCAGGGTAGTTCTATGAAGGATCACTTCCTTCATGACCTAAACCCCGGAACCCTACACCCTAAACCCTAAACCCTAAACCCCAAACCCCAAACCCTAAACCCTAAACCCTCACCAGGATGGGCTGCGGAGCTGGCCGAACAGCGCCCTACGACGAGGTGGGCAGTCTGCTTCAGAACTTGCAACTTCGGGGGGGGGGGGGGGGGGGGGGGGGCTTGGGGGGCTTTAGGGTTTAGGGTTTAGGGTTTAAGGTTGAAAAGTCCTCCGGCAAAGAAGGTTGAAAAGTCGGCTCTGGATCTTACAGGGCCTACTTTGCCTGCTTGGCTGTTGAGTCCATGTGGGTGGGTGCGGAGAGCATATCTCACACAAGCTCTGCTCCTGAGCCCAACATGAAACCCATGTCCTTTCATCAATCCCTAAACCCTAAACCCTAAACCCTAAACCCTAAACCCTAGAAAGCTGAGCTTTGGGTTTGCCATGCTGTCAGGCCGACCTTGTCGTTATTTCTGTCATTAGCGACGGAAGATATGGGTACAGAACACCAAGTCCATTCAGGTATCCACCTCCACCTTGGGGACGAAATGAACCCTAAAATTGGGGGTCATGTACCCTGACTACTATAATTCCGATTAAGGTATATGAGCCATAAACCCTTTCAGGGTTCATTTCGTCCCCAAGGCACCTCCAGACGTGCAGACGCTTCTCTTTTCGCCGTCGTTCCTGCCGCAGCTGCCCCCGACATTGCACATCATCATCGCATACCCATCGTTTGGCTTGCTGCTGACACCCGCGTTATAGCTGATACTGTGGGGACATGCTGGGAGTGATCGTCGGAACGTTAGTGGCAGCGGCCATCACCTCACATAGCGCAACTACGCAGTTTATAAGTCCAACCCAGCAATCCTCTTCAACGTGCGACAGCGCAGTATGTTCCGCACAGCCTGGCGATGGCGTCTTGGCGCCCCCATCCTTTCGGCCAGTGCTGCGCTTCCCGCGTTGCTGGCATACCCGGCTGCCCGCCGGAGGCGTTGCGGCGCCGAGGAGGAGGGTAGCTGGCGGGGCCGGTGACAAGCCCAAAGAGTCCATCTACCTACATAGTATATACTTGGGCCCTATAAGCTTCTATATGGGAACATACTATATACCTGGGGGCCCTAAAGCTTCGATATGGGAACCCCTTTAAGGCCCAAGTATATCCTACATAGGTACATGCGGCCTTAGGGAATTCGAATCTGGTTGTAGTCTGCATTCGGCTGAGCTTGGGTTTGGGCTATGCTCGCATCTAAGACATGTTGAGGGGGGGCGGGCCAGACTGGGGGGGAGGTGGGATTATGGACGCAAGGTTCCGAAGCGAAAGCCGAAAGCACTTTGATTTGTGCTCACCTCTTACGCATCACACACCTTACACGCTTGCAATGTACAAGCGCTTCATGATAAGAACAAAAAGAATACCGACAATAGTAACAATAGTAATCAAGATATTATTGTTAATCATGACAATGATAATATTAATCGGACCCTATAGCACAAAGCGTGCCAGGACAAAGTGTTCAGCGAGGCAGAGGTACGGCGACACAGTTCTGAAAAGGATGCCTGGATCTCCTTCAATGGCTCCGTGCACCTTGGCTAGGGCTTAGGGTTTAGGGTTTAGGTTTAGGGTTCAGGGTTCAGGGTTTAGGGTTTAGGGTTTAGGTTTTAGCGTTTAGGGTTTAGGGTTTGAGTGTAGGGTTGTGTCCAACTGTCCAGAGTTGAGGCGTTTACATTTTGTGAGTGCTTGGAGAACAGAAATCGATGACGCTTGGCAACTTGTGCTCCCATCCGCTGTACCTCCACAGCCTCAACATCGCTTCTGCCAGCCACAGGTTTAGCAAGCCACTGAATATTAACTTCTTCTGGTGCTTTGTAAAATTACAGTGGCTGTGGTAACATGAGCAGTTTAAGTGTGAACTCAAACATATATTTTCTATATATGTATATACATATTGTCGGGTTTATCAACCTCAACGTCTTATCAGGTACGACATCACTCGGTACATCCCACAGCACCCGGCGTGTCCGGGCCTTGCATGGTCAAAGCGACTCGCTGGGCGCCGCTTCGAGCACTTCCTCGGCCAGGCATTCAGGGTGCAAGGTTGGTTTAGGAATCTAGGGTTTAGGGTGTAGGGTTTAGGGTTTAGACCCTAAATCACCAAATTTGCAGCAGCTACAGCCACGATTTGGAAAGAGCTTAGGTCCCAGCTGCACTCTTTTTTTCGCGCAGGTTAGGGTTGTCCCTTTCCATGCCTCAATCCCGGTTTAGGGTTTAGGATTTCAAAAAAAGGGTAAGGGTTTGGGTTTTAGGGTTTAGGGTTTAATTAGGGTTTAGGGCATTGAGCAATCCTTAGGCTCTGGAATCCTGTAGCTTTAAGGCCAGAAGCCTTGTGGCCTATAAGCCTGAACAAAAGAAACCAACTTCGTTCAAGAGGCAGCCCAAGGTGGAACCCAAGAGCTTCAATCTTTTCTACATCTTCATCATGCACCGTACAAAGCCCGAAAACCCTACCAACCCTGTAAGCCCTATCAAGCCTAGATCATCCTAAAACCCTAAAAGCTTTCTCAAGCCCCTAAAGCCCTATATAGCCCATTAAAGCCCTACAAAGCACGATAAAGCCCTATAAAGCCCCATAAAACCCTGAAGCCCTACACAACTCCCTTGTAAAGCCATTATCAAGCCCTCGTAAAGCCCCAAAAGCCTCCAAGCAGCTCCGGTGTTGTGAAGGATGCCTACGGTCCGGCCCACTTGGGCCGCCTGCAGCAGAGGGGGGGGGGACTGGAAGGTTTTGGGTTCGTAGGGTTTAGGGTTTAGGGTTCAGGGTTACGAGCCTACTGCAAAAATAGTTTGTAGGGTTGGGTTGGGGCCGAATTGTTTCCTAGCTTTCATGGGGAGAGGGTACGCCGTGGCCGATGTGGCCTAGTGCGGGAATGTTCTGTAGCGCTGTGCTCTGTATGTCTGGTGGTCAAGAAGGATGCCTGTGATGCCACGAGAGCATTGCAGCTGTTGTGGCCGGACGGGCACTGAGGGCCCGAGAGAGAGGGAGAGGGAGAAGGGTTGGATGTTGGATAAACGGGTTTAGGTCGCTTAGGGTTTGGACGTTAAAGACTGGTGGGTTTTTTTGAAGCTTGCTGCTCTTCTGCCTTCAGGGCGTTCGGAATTTGGTGCTCTAAAGGTGAGGTCATCGGGAGCCCCAAACCCTGGCCTACCAGCTCCGTAAACTGCCACTGCTCGATGGGGCGGAGGGTCGCCCCCTCCCCCGACCCAACCCCCCCCCCCTACCCCCCCCCAAAAGGCAGCCCAGAAACCTCGAAACTCCTGAAGAAAAGTCGCCCAAAACACCATGGCGAAATCCGACCCGCGGTCCAACTGACTGAGCCTTATCCGTATTTTTCGGGTTTGTCTGTCGAGAGGTCGGGTGCATGCAAGGTTGTGGCCCGGACGCGAATTGCAGCCGAGGCGTGAAGGCACATTGGTTTAGGATTTATAGGATTTATAGGGAAAACGGGTGATGGAACGCCACGAATTCTAGATTGGGCCCTTTGCTGATGCACAGTTCCATGAAGGGTTACGAACTAGGACGGTCGGAGTGTGGATGGGGGTGGGCAGGGGGGACGGTGGCAAGAGAGAGGGAGACAGCGAAAGGTACGACTTCAACCCCCCGCTCCACTGCGTACGCCAAGAGATGGGGAGAAGTAAGAGGCTCATGGGGTTTCGTGCAAACTTTCACGCTGCGAGGCCGAGCTGGAGAAGATCTTGCAGCCGTACAGAATTGGCAAGCTAGAAACTTGGCATGATAGTTCCGGTCGATTTTTTCTTCTGGCTCCAGCTCTACTGCAACTATGAAGCATGAACGAGGCATTTCTCTTTCTTTTCCATCCTGTTAGGATCAGGCTTGGGCGGCTCCTGTGTTCAGGGTCTTGGGCTGTGAGCCTTGCTAGCCCAGTCATACCCTTCTCCCTTTGTTTGTGGTTCAAGGCTCTCTGATAAAGTAACCAACCCCAAAAAAAGGTGCCTTTTTTTATAGGGTTACTGGGCTACTAAGGGTAGCCACCCTCAACCCTAAACCGTCCAGGTTTTAGGGTCTTGGGCTGTTAGGCCCTTGAAGGGCCTCTTGGGAGATAAAGGTGCTCGAATTGCTGTGCGAACTGAGGGCGCATGATTGGGAGTTGCGGGAGGCTGTGGCTAGTTCAGGGCACCTTGCAAGAGGGAGGGACGTAGGTCATCTCAGTTCTTACAGGGGCATGTTTAGCCTTACTGGCAAGTAATATTTTTCTGACCCCCCAACACACGGCGTTGAAGGTGCAACTGGTGCTCCAGACGGGAATACGGGGTTGCGATTAACTCAAGAACTCAGTCGTTGCTTGGAGATGCTCGGAGTTTTTTTTTCCACGGTATGTGAGATCTGATACCAATGTGAAGTTCCACTGGGATCTGTCTGCTTTGCACTTTTTGATCTGTGAAGTTTGGAGGTACTTCTGTCCTGAAGGTCTTAACGTGAACCCCAATAAACCCTGAAATTTGCGTCCCCAAAACGTCAGCCACAAGAACTCAAACCTTTGCTCCAATCCTATCCATGCACTCCGAGCCGTACAGAGCCAGTCGAGGCCGCATCTCCTTTGTCGGATGCTGCTCGACGTTGGCCCGATGTCGCAACCCGGCCGCTGCCGTAGGGTTCCGGGATGTTTCTGAGAAGATTTGAGGATTTCATGTTGAGACGACAGAGTGAAAGGGTTGAAGGATCTCTGCCGAGCAGGATGTAGGGTTTAGGATTGTTTGGTGTTTATAGTCTTTACAGTACAGGGTCTTGGGCGGACCTGTTGGAAAAGGGCTTTGTTGCAGCCAAGCCTTGCAAAGACAGTGAGCGTGCAGGGCCCTTGCGGCCTCAGTTTTTGATGATCGAGAGCTGAAACACTCACCGACATTGACCCCCGTTGTAAACAAGTGTGCAGACAGCATCCTTTGGGTATACCCAAAGGATCCTTCAACATGCCCATTGAACTTCAGCAGCCCCTCACCAAATGAACCCGTAACATTGGGGTCATATGCCGTAGGCTCCTACTCGTACTCTTTGAGGGTTCGTTTGGTCCCCAAGGTTTGTTTTGAGTCTTGGGTTTGGGGTTTAGGGGGGGGGGGGGTGAAAGGTTGGGGCGCGGGGGCGGGTAAGGACATGAAGAAAAGGCTTCCCCGAACGAAAAGATGCAGGTCAAGACCCTGGAAAGTCATCTAGAGGCCCTTCATTCTCACGCGCAAGCGAGGCAAACAAAAGCCACAAGTGAGTTTCGACCCCCTGCCCTCAAACTCGAAACTTGGCTGGAGCATTGCGCACCCGATCACCTCGCCAGTGTCCGTGAGCGATTAGACCCCAAACCCTCTAAGCCCAAAACCCTCTAAAACCCCATAAACCCTATACAACCTCACAATAAGCCCTTAGACCGAGACCCTACAAGCCCTATAAACCCTACAAGTAAACTTAAACCCTGGAAACAACCCTAAACCCTAAACCCTAAACCTTAAACCCCAAACCCTAAACCCTAAACAACCCTAGAAACCCTAGAAACCCTACAAAGCCCCTAAGCCTTCTCTGTGAGTCGGAAGCCAAGGAGGCGTCTTCCGTGCGCTTGCGCCTGGAAAGGCCGGATGGCGACCTCCTTGGTCGCCCGGAAGACATTGCGTTTAGGGTTTAGGGTTTAGGGTTTAGGGTTTAGGGTTTAGGGTTTAGGGTTTAGGGTTTAGGTTTAGGTTTTAGGGTTTAGGGTTTAGGGTTTAGGGTTTAGGGTTTGCTTAAGAACCCCAAAAAATGAAACATAATATTCTTCTTTATAAGGGTTATATAGGGATTTCTTTTTTTGTAAATTCTTTTGGGGTTCTTAAGCATATAGAAGCAGAGATTCTTGTTCTACTGGGTTTTGGAGTACTATACTTTAATCATTCTTCTTGGTTCTGGGTCCCTATTTTCTGCTTATGCCCAAAACGCATATCCTTTTTTAGGGTCTACTCCAAAGTAGGTTCTAGGACCCTTACAAGCCCCTTTATGCCTAGGTTACTCTTGGGCCTACTGTTTATGGGGCTTAGGGTAAATGAGTTTAGGGAGGCCTTTGGCCTTAGGGTTTAGGGTTTAGGTTTAGGGTTCAGGGTTCAGGGTTTAGGGTTTAGGGTTTTAGGGGTTGCCTGGATTGCTGGGAGGGACCTCCGCAGCCCCCAGGCAGAGCATCGCATGAGTTGGGATGTTCCCCCTTATACTAGCAGGGGTTTAGGGTTTAGGTTTTAGGGTTTAGGGAGTCCTTAAAAGGGAGTAGGGGGTACTACATAATCCCTATTTAGGACTGTTGGTATAAGGGGAAACATCTCAGGGAAAGCTTTGGATGGTTGCCGTGGGCTCAGGTGTTTTCACCGTCGCAGAGCTCCGAAAGGCCTTCAAGCCTTGTTCCTTTGGCTGCATTCAGACCTGTCTAGTACCTGCGTATAAGGCATGACGTCTGGATGTGAGATAGCGACTATCGCGGCCGGTTGGCACTATGGCCCCAATCACCATTTCACCCTGGCCCGAAACCTTCAATGCGGAAGATTCATATGGCCAGTTCGTTCAATGATGGTCCTTTTCGGGCATACCAACAAAAGTCAGTATTTGCTATTTCCACGAAGCTTTGGACGCATGAGGGGTGGCTTTCCCAACACCTCGTGCCCGGAAGAATGGATGCATCTACACTCAACAAAGTTCTGCAGCCCTTCAAAGCATAAGGGTGGATGTAGAGTCCGGAGTCCAGACAGAAGCCCTCCACCCCCAAACCCCACAACCAAGCCCTGGAACAGTTCCCAAGCCCTAAACCCTAAGCCCTAAGCCCTAAACCCTAAACCCTAAACCCTAAACCCTAAACCCTAAACCCTAAACCCCAGTCTTTTAAATCTAGCCCGGGAGAAAGAAGGTAAAGATGGCCCCGCTAGGCACCAAAACGGTCACCCACAAGTGCAGCACCTCCGGCAACGTGAACACCCGGCAGTGGACCCTGGGATGTAGGGTTTAGGTTCAGGATTTAGGGTTTAGGGTTTAGGGTTTAGGATTTAGGGTTTAGGGTCTAGGGTCTAGGGTTTAGGGTCTAGGGTCTAGGGTTTAGGGT